AAAAAAAAAAGAAAAAACGCATAAAATAATATTCCAATAATTATGACACAGGCACACAGAATCGCCATTACATAAGGTGCAGATTGTAAGTACGCCATGCTGTGAGCAGGTCAGCCCACTTCCCTTGACGATCATTTCGTCTGCAGAGATTACATTAGGAGGAACATGAACTGTTGCAATTGGGATACGATTCTGCTGAGATGTACTTAAACAGTAATTACTGTTTACTCAGAGCAGAAAACAATTTAAACCAGGTGATGAGAAGGATGTAGAATTCATTAGCTTTCTTGCCCACAGCTCCTGTAGGAGAAAAGAATCTGATTGCTTGAAAAAAATTGATTTAAAAAATGGCAAATGGAGGTAATTTTAGATATGTATTCACAAAGCTGCCCCAAACATACTGCCCTATTCAGAAGTTGTTTCTATCTTTTTTTCTCCCCAAAGAACTAACGTAAGCTCAAAAGATTGAGATTGAGATTGACTTGCACAGAATCACTGGGAGGCTAAGTGTCCTAAGGCTACTTCAAGGCATGACTCAGGTGTGGGCCCTGGAGACCCTCTCCTTGTAGAGCCTCACACATCATTTCCCCTATAACACTGATCAGATTCTGTTCGGCAAAGATCACAGCACATACTGGGAGGCTTGGAGAACACGGCTAAAAATACAACAAAATTACTCCAGTTATAGTATCATGGAGCTTCTGAGTCACTGCAGAACTCATAGAACAAAATGAAATTATCAAAGTAGAACATATTTAAAACACACGCACACACTGAAGCAACCCTAGTTTTTTGACATCCTCTAAGGAGAAAAAAACAGATTGTGACCAAGATTAATGGTGCATATTTTACTCTAATTTCCTGTAGTGGAATTTCAAAGCCAAGAACTATTGTTGAACTTGAATGTCACCATTTCACAGAGCAGCCAAGCCCTCTTTGACTCATTCCTCCCCTAACTGAAAGAGATCTGCAAAATAGCACGGCAGAGCCTCTGATGGCTGAAGTGCTGCTGAGTAGAACTTGTGCTTTAATTTCCTTTCTGGTCTTTGTTGACCATTGTGGCACTATGAACTGTTGCTTTGTCTCACATTTTTTTTTTTCTTCTGTTATTGTGGTTGTACATTTTAAATGCAATCTTTCTATTTAGAAATATCTCACTGAAGATGAATAAATATTATTCATACAAGTAACTATCCTTCCAGCTATCCCCAAATCATCCTTTTCCTGTTCCTCAATGAAACTTTCAAAATCATTTATTCACTCATATTTCTTGGCAAGTTTTCCTTGACTGCCTGCTGTGTAGAAGCAGAGAAAGTGAGAGGGTGATGTCCTCCATTACTATTAAAGACCCAAAGGGCTTTGCCCAGGGTTTCATTTGTGTTTTAGTGAACTGTGAGGTGGAATTGCCCAGGATGATCACATGGTTAGCCCTGTTGACTGACTCTACCTAGATACCTAGAACCATCGAGTGTTCTTCACGCTCACAGTCCTTTTCTTCCTGTGCTTCTAGAGACCAGCAGAAGTTACCAACTTCCTGGAATAATCGTCAGCTGTGTCTTTTGGTTGTTTGGGTTTAGCTTCCTCTCTGTTCTCTAAATATTTTCTTTTTCTAAGTGCCTCACTTCCTTTGTTAGAAACTAAGTTTCCCTGACCTTCTCTTTTCCTTTCTGTTTCTAATGGTCCTTGAAATGGAAACAGTTTGTTGAGTTTCCTTACGTGTACTTGGGCAGCCTACTCAATGACTCCTGGGGGAATAATAGCTGGTGGCCTGTGGCACTCTCTGTTGAGAGAGGATGTGCAGTTTGCATTTTGGCAGCTACACATAGGGATGGATTTAAAAACAAACGTGTAAGTAGCTGGATAATAATTTCCAGCATGATGTCAACATTTCTTTAAAGCAAAGCCTTAATTTCTAATCTTCTGTCACTTTGGTCTCAAGGATGAGTTTGCCTTTATGAATGTAATATGGCAATCGTGAAAGCCTTACCTCAAGTCAAATATTTCTTCTTGAAGATGCTCTACTTTGCAAGGTACTGCCCACAGGAACGTATACCCTAAATAATGACTTTTTTGTTGTTGTTGTTGTTGGCTTCAAATTCTGGATTTAGTTTTATTTTCTCCTAAAATTGTGAGTGTAGTTGTGATTGCTTTTTTACTACCATGTCATACCATTTCCTCCTTGGGGGTCCTATGCAAATTGCATATGGTCACATCCACTTCATTTGGTACTTCTCTTATGAACTAGAAATCTTCCAAATGGTTCTTTGCATATCCTGATCGGACATATTCTCACTGAAGTCTCAGGACCAACCCCCGTACCTTGTCATATGTGTATGACTTAGTTTTTGGCTTCCTGGCTTAGTGCTTTCTGGTTTAGGGTTGCTGTAATTACTGTCTTCAGCAATTGTTCATTTTTCTTTCTTTTTATCCATTACTTCTTTTATGTTGACATTTACCCACGTTATCAAGTAATTATTCTTTGTAACTTTTCTTGGCAGAAATCAGCCCGAATTTCTTAGTGTGGACGTGGCTTTGACTTGTGTCCTAGTCCTTTGTGTTCCCAAAATAGCCAAGGAGTCCATTCATTCTACCAACCAACCAACCATCCGAGTGAAATAAATATGTTTAGCTACTTGATTGAGCCATTATTAGATGGGGGTTAAATTGCCATATACTGTGGATTTCAGGTATCTTAGTATGTAGGTAAAATTCTCTAGTGTATTACTAGCTTGATGGATTACTTTATTTTTAGTGGCCTAACTACATGAAGTTATGTGTTTAAAATGTGGCTGGAATCTATAGGATAAACAGTTGCAACTCTAATAACATGGCTACAGAACTCCAGCTTAATATGTGTGATAATGAATACATTGTAGTATTGGGTTGAAGAGGATTGTATGGGAAGCAGAAAAACTGAGATCTGTACAGCACTGCTACAACACACCTCTTTTTACCCATCTAGGTCTGAGTTTATCATCGGTACAATGAGAAATTGAACTATAGTTGTTTCTGAGGCCTTGTCTAGCTCTGAAAAGCTAGGATTCTACTTTCAAATGGATATCAGCTGCCACTTCTGGACTTTGGAAGATGGTGTGGACCATTAAAGGATCCTTCTTCAAATTTCTGTGTCTCTTCTTTTTTCTTTTTTGAGATGGAATCTGGCTCTGTTGCCCAGGCTGGAGTGCAATGGCATGATCTCGGCTCACTGCAACCTCCACCTCCCGGGCTCAAGCAATTCTCCTGCCTCAGCCTCCTGAGTAGCTGGGATTACAGGGTGCCCATCACCATGCCTGGCTAAGTTTTGTATTTTTAGTAGAGATGGGGTTTCACCATTTTGGCCAGGATAGTCTCGATCCCTTGACTTCATGATCCACCTGCCTTTGCCTCCCAAAGTGTTGGGATTACAGGCGTGAGCCACTGTGCCTGACCTCTATGTCTCTTCTTATCTTTGGTTTCAGAATACAGTTTAATCTTATAGCAGAAAACACTTTTTAGTGAAAAAAACTGGATCTTGCCATGAAACAAGGAATAACTGATTAATTTGGCAGAATGACATTAACTTATTTAGGTTGCTTTGTTTTTGATTGTTTTATTCAGTAATTAGCTCCTAAGATCCCTGGGAGCCTGTGCTCCACCCAGACACTAACCACAGTCTCTATCCAGTTGCTGGTTCTGGGTGACAGAGTGATCTCCCCATCATGATCAGCTTACTTCCTGTGGCCCATTAGGGGAGCGATGACCTGGGGAGCTATTTGCCTGTCGAGTGCGCACACCTGGAAACATACTGCTCTCAATTTTTCATCCATGTCAATGAGAAACGAGTGGCCCGTTAGCAAGATGTAACTATGCAATCATGCAACAAAGCTGCCTAGTAACATTTCATTTATTACAGGACTAAAACTCATTATTGTTTGTAAAGGATGAGTTCATCACCTCTGCAGAGTTATAGTTCATACACAGTTGATTTCCATTTATAAAGGTAGAAAGTCCTTGTTTTCTCTAAATGTCAAGCTTTGACTTAAAACTCCCGTTTTCTAGTCAGTGGAGTGTATGCATATGAAAGAAAATGTTTAGCAATTAGATGGGAGAGAAGGGAAATAGTACTTGAAATGTAGGGTTTTTTTTTTTTTTTTTTTTTTTTTTTTTTTTTTTTTTTTTTTTTTGAGACAGGTTCTTGCTCTGTCACCTAGGCTGGAGTGTAGTGGCATAGTCACAGCTCACTGCAGTCTTACCTTCTGGGCTCAAGTGATCCTTCTGCCTCAGCCTCCTGAGTAGCTGGGACTACAGGTATGTGTCACTACAACTGGCTAATTTTTAATTTTTTATAGAGACACAGGGTCTCACTACATTACCCAGGCTGGTCTCGAACTCGTGAGTTCAAGTGGTCCACCCACCTCAGCCTCCCTAAGTGCTGGGATCACAGGCGTGAGCCACTGTGCCTGGCTATCACGCAATTCTTAAGGGCTTACTCCAGTAGCAGAAGAGATTAGAAAGGCTGGTTTTTTCCAACAGTGGGAGCTTGAATCTGGAAAGTCTTAAACTAAAATTGTTGTAATTTCATACTACTAAGAAGCACTTTGCTCATGCAATTGAAAAAAATTAAGCTCCTACCTGGATGATTCCAGGGCACTTATAAGCAAGTAAGACTAATTAGAAGCCCTGATAGGCGCTAATGAAAAGGCAGGAAGTAATTTGCTCTGTGATACAAACATTCCTGGAGGTTTGGAATTGTTGTACATGATTTGGCACAGGATTCCTTACTGCGAGCTTTTGCTTTCCCAGGACCAAAGTCCCTGTTCTATGTAACACATCGTGGAGGGTAGGGGACAAATGGATACAGAGCTTGGTATCCACTGATATGGCTCCCACAAAGACATTTGGGAGGATGAGTAAAGAAAGAGAGATGCAATATCAGTACCAGTTGTAACTGGAAAATGTCATTTACATGGAATGAGAACTTACATGGGGCGAGCTGAGAAGCCTTTCAGTTGAAGTAAATAGAAAAATTAAGACACTTTCCTTTACCTTTGTATTTTTAAACATGTATTTTTATGCTCAGATCTTTCTTTTATAACTGGGTTATAACTGGGGAGAAAAAAGGATCTGGGCATGAGAGAAAGTGAAATCAAGGGAGGAAGAGGGCATGCAATGGGGAAAGGGAAGAGCAGGAACGTCCACTTTACTGAATACACAATACTGTAAAAGATGGATCCTGCCATATTCTTCCCCCAATCAACTTGGATGAAAAACAGAAATACTACATTCTTAAACACAGTTCATTTTTAGTTTGTCATGGCAATATAATATGGAAAAAAAATCAGGCCACTACTAAGCATTTGTAGAGTGCATCTTTGGCAAAAATGTGGACCTGCAACAATTCAGATGGTTTTCCTTCAATCAGGTTCAAAAATCATGGCTCTGGAAATTTCTAAAACTTTTAAGTCTTCTCGTGTCTTCTTATAATCAGGCATTCAGAGGTACGTGTTGATTCTAATAGCTTTGGTAGAAACATGCTGAAAATAGAAATGAATATAAAATGCCTTGTCTTTAGGCTAATTTGGTATGGATTTGTAAGGCCTGAGTAAACTGGAAATTAGTACATTTCTTGAAATAATACAAATGAATGTGAGACGCATGGGTAGAACAGCAGATTCAGAAAAAAAGGTTAGTATTGTAGTCCCAAGTTTTGTAAAACATCAAGTAAGGCCACCAAGAGAGGAACCAACTTTCTTTTTCGGGTTCCCTGGGGTGATTTCCTATCAGCTTCGCGTTCATGAGCTGGGGATTTGTAAAATGGAAGATGGCCTTTGACTTTGTTTTTGATCTGATCAGCAGCGGCACTGTCTGCAATCCAGGCCCAGCATTCTCAGAGAGTGTGCAGTACGGACGCTTCTGGCTGGCAGGGAGGTTGTGGCAGTGGGCTGACTAGTGTGCTGTGTTGGGAGGGCTCACAGGGTGGAGGGGCAAGCCTCCGTGCAAAGGGAATTCCTTTCTGGTCGTGCCCTCCTTTTTGGCTGGAGCTTGGCCGCAGACATTGGCTGCCATTCTCATGCCTGGGTGGGGTGGAGGCAGGTCCCGGACAACCTCAGATAATTGAGCAGCAGCTGTGACCTTCAGAACAGCGTTTCTTCTTTTTCTTGGGGTGGAAAATGGTGAGGATTGCTTCATCAAAAACCGCTTTGAGACCTTTCTGAGTCAGAGCAGAGCATTCCAAGTAGCACTGCGCTCCGATCTTAAACGCAAAAGAGAGAAAGGCATGAGAGAGAAAGAAGAGAACAGCACAGTGGTATCAGCTCACTGCCCAGACAAGCACTCACTTCTGCCTGTCCTACAAACAGCTTGTGGGGTGGTTTGGATTACGTTTGTCTTTTTTTTTTTTTT